GCAGGAATTTAAGGATTTAAGAGGAAGTTTTTTTGCCTGGTACTAAGAGTGCAGTGGGGAGCAGACAAACACTGCTAGCAGGTATTTGTCAAAGAGGATTGGCAGGTGGGGGGCTGAAGGAGGAGCTCTGCTCTCTGAAGTTAACTCTGGTTTACCTGCTCTCACTTTAGCAGGCAAGATCTGCTTCTCAGTCTGTCTGCTGGCAGAGGGAGGGTTAGGGAGCACTGGAGTATGAGAGGAGAGCTAGATCCTTATTTGTCCATCTCCTCTGGCTCATATTTAGGGCTTACTGATGAAATACAAGTGCCTCAGCTCTCAGCACCCTCATGAGAAGGTGCTGAGCTGCAGCCAGCACCCTGCAGTGAAGGCACTGGACACTCACAGCCCTGTGAGACGTGTTCCAGAGCAGGCACGTGGGTGCTGCATGGGGAGCTGCTGGCTCTGCCTGGAGCATCCTCACTGCTGGGAAGTGGGCTGGAGGAGCTGCTGCCGGGTGAGGGGCAGCAGAGAGGGTGTCCCCAGCTGTGCTGTGTCCTGCAGCCTCCCTCCCAGACAGGAACTGGTGTTCCCCGCAGGGTTTGCTGGCTGGAGCAGCTGCTCTTGTGTCCTGTCAGCTAAATCATGGTGCTGGCTCCGTCTGTGCAGCTGTCTGGGGATGTCCAGTATGAGGCAAACAGAGCAGGCAGGGTGAGGATACAGGGAGGGATCCTGCTCAGGGGTAGCTATGGGAAAACATGGTAGTTTGTGTGAGGAGCTGTCACCGGTGTGCCTGGAAGCTGAGTGTGCAGAACAAAGAGCTGTAGAATTGATGCAGGCAAGGGAGAAGGTGGGACCTGGGGCTCCAAACACCTCCTGGTGCTCAGCTCAGTGGGACTGACCAGCCTGCAGTGGGGCTGTGTGAGGTCTCCCTCAGTCAGAGCAGCACTAGCAAGACAGAAAACTGTCTCCTGATTTCTTTTTCTTCCAAATCTTCTTTGTGACTTGTCCTCAGTAGTGTATCATGGAATCCTAGAACTGCTTGGGTTGGAAGGGACCTTTAAAGGTCATCTAGTCCAGCCCCTGCTCTGCTCTCAGGTTATGCTGAAAGTGAGGTGCAGGGGGCTGGGTTTGGGGCATTGCTACTTACTGGTGGTAGATGTAGGCTGTGCTGGGTGCAGCAGCCCTTGTGAGGCACAGTGAGAGGCAGTGAAGGCTCACAGAGCCCAGGGATGCTGTGAGGTGGGGAGTGGAGGAGCTCAGCACCTCCTCAGGCTGCACTGTCCCCAGTGGGGAGACTCTGGACATGCCGATTCCCTCCCACCCTGCCCAGCTGGGGGTTCCCCCTTCTCTTAATCTCCAAAGTTGGTGGCACTGACAAAACAAATTGCCTTTCTCTCACTCACAGGTTGAGTGAGTTTTCTGGCAAATCTTAAAGCCCACGATATCTGGAGGGCCAGCCCTGTGCCCCCTGCCTGGGGAGGCTCGTGGCTGCTTTCCAAGCCGGCGGGGGGCCAGCAAGATGGGGGGGCAGCGCCTCGCCTGTTGTCGGCTGAGCCGCGGCACGGCAGGGCTCCAGGGAGCCACCAGGAACTCCACCAGCAGCCCTTTCAGAAAGACCCTTTTATTTGCATCCAGTGAACACGAGTTTTTTTTCAAGCCAGGGATGGCACGGGGCCAAGCATGTGAAAGTTGAAGGCTCGGAGCAGCCTGGAGAGTGAAAGGTTTAATCGCTTGCAGAAAGAGGATCATGTCTTTAGTCAGAGCCTGTGCTTGCTGGCAGCTGGCCGAGTAGGGGAAAGGTGGAGCACTGCTCAGCTCTCCCCGTGGCGCTGGGACTCCAAAATAATTGGGTTGGGCTGTGGAGGGCGAGGGGGAGGTGATGCAGACAGCTCCAGGCATGCCCGGCTGTCTGCAGGAAAGGGGGTTTGTCCTGGGCGGGGCCATCCCGTCCTGCCTGGGGATCCTGTGGGACAAACCCAGTGCCACGGCTGGGGCAGCTCCAGCCTTGTCCAACCTTCCATCTTGTTTGGCTAAATAAAAGGGAGGGAAAGGAAAAGCTCCAGAGCAGCCAGGAGGTCTTGTTGCTCTGCTGGTGCCATATGGCCACGTGAACTGGAACTAATGAGTGTGTTCCACAGACAACAAATTGAACTGAGTCTGGTCAGGCAGCTGCATCTCACTCAGCTTCTTCAAAGTCCTCACTGCAACAGGAAAGCAGAAGACATCTGAGTGCAGTCAGTGTGGCCAGGGCACGTAGAGAAAATCAGCCAGGGATGTTGTTGACATCTGCATGGTGCAGCCACCGAACGTCTGCCTGGGCACTGACCCACTGATGTGGGGAGGTGGGGAGTGGGGGTGAGGAGCTCGGCGAGGCTGGGAGACCCCATCAGCTTCCAGCACCTCCTGCTGCTGGGGGTGTGGGCTCAGCTGGTGGGTTTTCCATTCCCTGAACCTTGTGTGGCTTCCCTGGCTGCACCCACCTTGAAAGTGGGGGTGCTGGAGGTGCCCGTGGCCTCCCTGCAGTGCCGGGAGGTGGTTTCGTGGGGGTTTGATCCTCCTTCCATGTGGGTGCAGGCTTGAGGGAGGACTCTGAGCCACATGCTTGTCCTTGGGGTGCTCTGATGGGCTTGGTGGCACCAGTCCCACGCTGGCGTTGGCCCCAGGGGTGTGAGGGATGTGAACAGCAGCTGGGTCCAGACGCTGCGG